TTGATTGCACTAAACAAAATAGCTGAACTTTTGAATACATGTGGTACAGTGACTTAATAGAATTTCTCATGTACATTTTTTTTACATTTTTATTTAATAGATTTATATGGCTTCTCACCTTGTAAACAACTCTAGATAGCAAACAATATTTAAAAAAAACTACAGACCAAGCAGTAGGAGAAGCAAGAAGGAACTGCCAGTGGCAACTGAGGAAACTAGTAAATAACTCGTCTGGCTTTAACTGATCAATTAATACCCATGCCTGAAAGAATAGCCATGACCTAAAGGCATTCCGAAAAGCCCACAGAATGGGGTATGACCTAATGCCAGGTGACAGAATTTCTAGATTAGGGATCAGTATTAGTGTATCACCTTTAGGGGAAAAACAACACTGGAATTTGTGTTTTCAGATAAAGGATTTGGATAACAAATATGGAGGCTAGCATTTTCTAACAATACTTTCCATATACATTAGACTATGGCCTACAGCATCAGTATATCCTGAAGGCAGCAGGTTGTGGTCAGCTATAGCAAATCTTCAAGTGGGAAAATAAAAACCTCATCAATGTGTTAAAAAAAGGGAACCCAACTTTGGTTTTGATGACTTAGCTGAAGTTTGTCACATATCGGCTGATAAACTGTTGCAACACCAGTGTTCTTTTTGAAAGGGCAATGACATAATACAGTTTTTCCCAGAGTGCTGTTGTTTTGGTGTTAAGAGAACAGTACCCAGGAAAGGGGAAATGAGTAATAAGCAGCAGCTAGTAGTTCAAACCAGATTCAAGTTGGGTTAACAATATTACCACTGGGGGCCAATCAGGGGAGTGGTCATAAAAGTTGACAGCCACAAAATTGAAACACAACTAATTGATCCACAAAATGGCTGACCACATTTCAATCTGATAAGATGTTCTGAATCCAAATAAGTGTGTTAGTTTTTGGTTCAAAGTGTCATTACAGCCCAGAAAATTGAGTTATCTGAATGAATCATGGATAATTTGGAGGTTAGAACATCTTGTGAATGCAGCTGGTTTCTAGGAAAAGAAGCCATTCAATTTGTAACTAGAACTTTAAACCATCCGAATATCATGCATTACCCGGATCTGGCAGTGAGGCACTGAGGAGATCTCCGAGACATAGCGCTCAACCACAGGAGGAAATCCCACTTCCAGTTCAGCCTGGGAGACTTCTTTGTGATGGGAAATTATGCGGGAGCAGTTACACCAGGGAACAAAGAGCTGGTAGCTGCCAACATCGGCTACAATGTCATACATCTGGTCAACAGAGTACCTGCATAAGAAAAAGTAATGGGGATAGTGAGCAAAAACCAGCAATCGGCATTAAAGATAGGAAAGCCTAAACTCTTGAATCAAGTGAAATTACCCTCCAAACATTTATTAGCGTTGCTCAGTTTAAGCCATCGGTAAATGTGAAGCCTATATCTGAAGTATTATCCAGTTTTGATCATTGCTTGTCAAACAGATATGAAAAGATCAAAAGAGCTTCTGTGAAAACAAGCATTTCAAGTTAAAAATTCCTTTTATTTGGCGGGGGAGAATAAACTGATGAAAATAAGATGCTTTCCCACCAAATTTTAGGCAATCCACATCTTGGACAATCTCAGGGCGTGAGAAATATGCATATGGGCCACACCTGCTTAGTAAGTTATGAAAATCAAGCCATTAGGTCTTTGGTCTGATCCTTATATTTTTAATATATGCCAAATAATCAATAAAAAGATGCATCTGAAGATATGGAACTGTGGATATATCTGTGGAATGATCTAAATATATGATTACATATTACCAAATGTTTCAAAGTAGAGCCAAATCTTGAACTACTCACATGGAAAAGCAATTAGGAAATACTGCTACCAGACAACTGGATATTTCATTATTTTCACAATATTTCATTAGACGAGACCTCAATACCTCTGTTCTACCAAGTGAGACTTCAACCAGAAACTGGCTTACAATCATGGTTAGAACTGAGCTACTCACGGAAGTTGACGGATTTCAGTGTATTCCATACGCTTGGCACCAAGTAGAGGAGCTGCAAGATTGAGGAAGGGCCGGACCTGCTTTCTCATAATTGATCTGGAGTCCAGGAAAGAGCAGGACTTCATAATTAGAGGACCAAGGAACCTACTAGAGCTTAAACATCTCCAATGAAGCGTAGTAGGGCTTATCCTGTAAAAGAGAGAAAAGGAGACATCAAAGATGGCAAAGTTGAGAACAGGGAATGATGAGCTTCCCTTCGGACTAACAATAGTTGGCAGACAATCCTCAATCTTCTCTAAGTCTTAAGATCATAAGATTCCAGAATTCCCAAATGATGACACCAACTAATAACTACTAGCCAATCTTAACTAATTCCAGGGAAGTGGAAAGAAAGGAAAATGAAGTGGAAAGAGAAGGATAGAATCTAGGAGGAAAATCTTGGAAGAAAGCATGAAAACCCACTCCAATAACACTGCTAGGAAAATTATATGGACATATTTGTTTGCTTAGTTGTTTAGTTGTCAAACTTTACTGTATCTCTTTTTTTTATTTGAAACACATTTAAAGGGCATTGGTAATACTTCTCTGAATAATTGGAAAATCCAGGAAAGCAGGATGGTCAATTTTGACCCTTTGATGCATTCTTTTTTTCCATTTCCAATAGTGTATTTATATATTTAAGAGCTGTTTAGAATATTTGGTTTTATTTTGCATTCACCCTATACTTGTTTTCATTTCTTTTAAGGTTTTTATTTTTATTCTGCTATAAGTAGAATTAGCTTTGTTATAGGAATTACTCAGAGATTTAATTGTTAGGCAGTACATAAATAAAGTTAAGGTTGCAATTTTATCCAGAATCAGTAAATTAATTCCTACTGAACTTAGTGCAGCTTAATTCAGAGTAGACTTTCTACTGAGGCATATATGATCCATTTCACTGTGAAGAATGAGGGGGTTCAAAATGCCTATTTTTATTGAGTTACATCAATTCCAAGTATTAAATATATTTTATTATTATTAAATCATATTAAATAATTTAACAAACCAGCTATTAAATCCATTATACTGAATGAATTATTCTACTGATTATCATACTAAGCAAAACACAGAAGTTAATTAAGTTAAACTCACAATGCCCTAATTCATTTACACTATTGGAAATAAGTGTGCTCAAAAATCACTTTTAATGTGATTTAGTTTTAAGTAGACATGCTAGCTATGAATGTTTATTGAAGTGATACCTAAGAATCTTTTACTTGTTACTCTGCAGAAATAAGACCACGAGATTTGATGGCATAATTCCCAGATGCTCTTCTTTCAATTGCTTTAAATTATGTATTAAACATAGTTGGCAAACAAATGATGCGGTGGCCGTCAGAAAAAAAAAATGATTAATGATTTAGCAAGTGTTAATTAAATTAATTAAAAAAAAAGAGTTGCAGCTTTCACATAAACACGCTCTGCCTAGATGAATCACTTTTCAATGGCATTCCCACAACCTGCCAACAAAAGAGCCCCGATCTAGCCCAGTTTAACATATCATGCGAAACCATCCCATCAGCCTCCGGCCTTCTTGCTCCTGGCAACCGATTTAACCCACTGGTGGGGACCAGATTCAGTCTGGGGAGAAACGAAACCGGAGCAAGAGAAGGAAAGACAGGAGCTCCCGGTTATCCGGACCCAACTAACCCCAAGCCATTATTTCCTCCGGCAGTCGGTCTTACCGTGCACCCCGTGGAAAGCGCGGGCGTAACCCGCTCCCGAAAAGACCCCGAAAGGCTTCCAAACTCTTACTGAGGTGCCTTGTTCCAGCCATAGCTCAAATGTGCCGTCCGAGCGCCAGAGATTACGAATGAACCGGCGAAAAGACCAGACATCCGCCCCCACGGCCGCCTCAGCTCCTCCCCTTCACACCCTTCCAGGTTTCGCCCGATACGCCCAAAGCGGCCAAACTGGCGCGGTTTTTTTTTTTTTTAAAGAGAATAAACTCCATTATTATAAAGTTTACAAAGATAGTCCAACCCACCACCATTTCGGAATTTAAAATACTTTTTAACATCCAAGGGTGAGCTAAGATCATATGCTCTGATGAAATCTGGTTGGCAGTGTGTGGCCAAGGGTAGCTTTGGTGGTTAAGGTTCGTTTTCCGAACTTGCGAGTTGGTTTCCGAACGTTTCGTTACCAGGCTAAGTAACATCTTCAGTGGAGTTTAGGGAAGTTTCCCCCTAAAACGAATCTTCACCCTCATCCTACACTCGAGCTACAGAGTATCCAATATATGCAGTGCACAGTATTCGTTTGAGCGTTCTAACCTTGATTTTACCGAAGTAACAAGTTGGTAGATTCAGACAAGCACTAAGCCACAACAAAATTACCCAAACTGAAACCCTAACCCCTAAAAGCACATTGTGCAAAGGCTGCTTGGTGAGGATCGAATCGACATGGTCAGGTTTGCTTGCAGACGTTTCTTTAACCAGACTAGTAAACGCTAGTAAGGAATGCAATTTACTGTCAGTTTATATTCTGGTGGCTTGCCTGTTGGTGGGGATCTTAGAGATGTCTTGGTTGGGCTGTTTGCTGTTGACTTCATTAGCAGTTTCTTGATTGGGGTATTGTTTGTTTGATTGTTGGTCTGATGTTAACCTCAGAGTTAATCTCTGCTGATCTGGGTGCTAATTGCTGGTAGAGAAGTGCTTGAGTCTTTTTGTTCCTTTTTGGGCTGGGTGATCTGGCTATAGATGTTGTTAATGTCTATGTGTCTATTGGTGGCTAATTTGTCAGAGTGGCAGGCTATTAGAAATTCCCTGACAATTTTTAGACCTAGCTTGGTTTAGGGTGGTCACATTTTTCCAACTGAAATTATAGTTAAATCTGCCTATATGTAGAGTGGAGTGGAGTGGAGTGGAGTGGAGTGGAGTGGAGTGGAGTGGAGTAGAGTAGAGTAGAGTAGAGTAGAGTAGAGTAGAGTAGAGTAGAGTAGAGTAGGGTAGGGTAGGGTAGGGTAGGGTAGGGTAGGGTAGGGTAGGGTAGAGTAGAGTAGAGTAGAGTAGAGTAGAGTAGAGTAGAGTAGAGT